AGCAGAACGCTGATCATTTTATTAAAGATGAAACAAAGACTTTAGACAGTTTTTCAACTCTCAGTAATGCCATAGTGAACGTTTGATATATGGACCTGCAGCGGAGTTTAGGTTCAGACACGGCTAGTGACGTCAGACTGAACAACCGGATTGCCATGTGTTCTCTTGACAGTAGCAGTTTATAAAGAGATAAAAAATATTACTGAGCAGAAAGAAGGTAATTCAGCTTGTTGTTGGTGTGGCCTTCTGCGCTGGACCGAGTGATCATTTCACTGGATCAATAAAAATACCAACATTTACTTTGGACAGTGGTCCCAAAACAATATCGATAGGTTCAAGTAAATGTTAAGCTACACTTACTGACTGTAGCTGGCAGATGGGAGGGTGGTATCAATATTTTGATATTCATACATAAACTAAAATATACAAAAAATGTATGTATTTAAAATGACCATTCTCTCTCTACCAATTTACAGATAGATAACTTTGGTTTTAAGGATTTTCCTGTCAATGTTACCATGTTCTTCCCAACTGAACTGGAGCATAACTTTGAAATAAAAAGCTATGAAGTCTTTGTCAAGGAGGTAACTTTGTGTCTGCCAGAACATTTCTCAGTCATACTGGTGCTGGATATGAAAATATAGAGCCTTAAAGCTTACCATACTCTGTCTCTTTAAGAACAAAACGCAGTGCACAGCCACTACTAACCAGACGTCTGAGGTAAGTACAACGGATTTCACATAAAAAATATTGCTTGTATATTGACTGTATGCTTAAACTTTCACAACATTGTCAAATCATAAGCGTAACCTGTTGTGTTTGTTTCTGTGTTTTTATGCTTGTACTCTACTGGAATCACTCTGCATTATTCACAGTTCAGAATAATGACATCATTTTCTTACAGTGGACCTTGCTGTAGCCTTTCAATCGAGGCTCTCTCTTAAATAAGCCATTTTAGCTAATTTTCTTACTTAAGCTAACTTTTATCATAATCAGAAGGTTCCAGGAACATAATACAAAGCCAAAATTTGTCATAAACCATCGGTCTCCTCCTGTGCCCACCTCTTAATCTAGCTAGGTATCCGGTGACAGGTAGGATGGTTGGGATTGATGGCTTGCATCGTATTATACCTCTTATATTTTATTTAAAGTCACACAAATCACATAAATAATCCCAAATCTAATGCTTCGATTGAACGCAATCAGGTAATCTTGACAAAGTTTACATGTCTAAATGCAATGTATTGCGTGCCATTTGATTGGCTGATTAGATATATGTGTTAAAAAGTAGTTGAACAGATGTAACTAAAAATGTGGCCAGTGAGTGTATGACAGAAAGTCAGGAAAAGCCTAATAGGTCTCTCTTAAAAAACTAAACCTCTGGTTCCATTACAGGATTGCTTGCTAGAAAATAAGTGCATAACCATGGTCTGCAAAAGTTTCAATTTGGAGAAATATTCAGCCGCTGAGTTTACCCTGTTGGGAAAAGCTAATTTCCGAGACCTTGAACAGAAGCCAGCCGTATGTAATAACTAAATATGCAGACAAAATATACTCCACATATACATTTTTATATTAAATATAGAAAATCTTGTTAATCTGATTTTAACTTACAGAATCTTCCTTTTCTCAAAAAATACACTGGAGACAGTGGAAATGTAAAATTTGTAAGTTCTATACATGTTGGCTATAACAAGGATCGGTTTGTGTTGGAATCTCTTAAACAAAAGGTATGTCTAAGTTTGACCACAACATATTTCTGTCATTGGTTTTTCAGTAAACCTAATTTATTATATTTATGACCCACAGAAAAAAGACGATTTTACGCCGTTCCAGTTTCCAATGAGAAGGGTACCTGCAGTCTTCACTCATTCAAATAATACTACTAGATGGGTCAACATTAAAAAGAGTTGGGTAGCACTTAGATTTCTTTTCTGTTTTCTCTGGCAACAGATTGAAGTTCAGTTTGATTTCATTATCCCTCCAAATAAACTGCTGATTATTTCAACTGGAGTTAGTTTAGGACTCGTGCTCCTGATTATAATCACGGTCGTGCTGTTTAAGGTGAGACTTAAAGACTTTTATCTTTATGTTAATTTAAGTGTAACTTGATTAAGCATATTGAAATAATGGTTTTACTATCTGGTCTAATGATTCTTTTTTTCTTTCGTCTCTCTCAAGTTGGGCTGCTTCAAGAGGAGAAAACTCACATATCACATACAACGAGAACGCATCAAAGCAACTGAAAATGTGAAGGAAACATATAAAAGTACAAATATTTCTAATATACAACTACAGTGAAGGAGTAAATTTGAACATCTAGAAAATGCATTTAATTGGTTCCTTAAAATCTCAACAATTTCTAATCTACCTAGCAACAGCTCAATGAGAAACAGTCCCAAAACCATTGAAAGAACCACTGAACTTTGAAAATGAAAATTGTCCATTTCCAAAGTTGATAAAATTCCCCTTCAAGCTCCTACACTAAGCCATGTGATTATGCCATGCGGGGGGGTTTTGTCTTTAAAAAAAACAAAACAAGAGACCAAGCTTGGACCAGTGTACCAAAGTAGATCATCACTGATTATGATTGAAACCCTAGTCCCATTCCAAAAACCTTAAACTTTTGTTTTGGAGAATAGAAAATGATATTTCTTTCTAATAAAATGAAGTGTTTTTGATGAACAGAGAAAACCATGTAAGTGACTGCTTATCTTGTACTTAAAGTTCAGTTTAAAGGGCTATTTCATTATCATTTGAATGTATATTATTTGTGTCAGATCGTTGTATTGAGTTCCCTTAAAGACAATGGAAATGCCAAAACATTGGACACATTAGTGATGTCAGCTGCATTTATGATATCCTAATTATTAATTATATGATGTCTTTATTTCGATGTGTAGAACATATCGTTTTATGAGTTAAGAGTTGGATGTTTGAATAACAAGGAGAGTATTTCTGAGTAATATAAAATGTGATGGAGTGGCTGTTTGGTTTCTCCTATGTCGAGATCCAAACTTTAAATAACTGCACAGCTATTATTTTAAGGGTTCGGCAGATGCTTTCGATTATATGAGCTCTAAAATGATATTTTATGATTTTTTTAAATGATTTTTTTTCACATAATGCATATATAAGAATAATATGTCCTGTGCTTAGTAAATATGTATAGAATGAACCTAGAACTGAAACAAACTGAGTTCGTTTAGAAACGAATGAATTGCACTGATATTGTGAAGATTCACTGATGATTGTGAAATGCAAAGCTTGCATCTATGAACAACAGTCTGGGAAAATAAGTATATTTGTGGTAATGGAAAATTATAATTCCACCATATGTCCCTTAGTACTTTTAGATGCTTTAAAAAAGTAAAAGATTTAACACTGAGATATTTGTGGTTTACTCAGTGTATATCTAACTGACATATGCAGTATGACAAGCTGCCAGCAGATGATCCCTGTAAAGGACTAGTACAATAGTCTCATGATGTCAGTATGATAAGAAGGACACCTCAATTCCAATTACATTTTGCGTAATAAATTAGGATATTTATATTCCGTTGAATTCCGTTTTCCAAATTTTGCCAGACATAAATGGGACATAAACGTTGTTTTTACTGCCTTTTACTGTATATTTCATTTAACTCTTAGCTGTTATATGCCTGTTAAGGGGATGAAACTCTTTTGTTTTGCTCAGCTGTGGAAGAAGATGAACGTGTGGAGCGCTGACACCCTGTAGTCTCATACAAATTACACGGATGCTTGCAATAACTGCATATAGACCACTTTCACTTGAGGGGTGTGTTTGTAGTAAAATGCCAAACAAGGGACGTTAGGCTGCGTTGCATGCTGGGAAATAATTTTGTTGCTAGGAGACCGTAAACCTCATTCGGTGACGGTACAGCGCTTTGTAGCTAGTTTGACAAAGCTCTAAACACTAAGGCAGTTTAATTATTAATTTGAGAGAACAATAAGATATTCTGGTGCTGTATATTTGATTCGATAGCCTGCTTAAATACAAGGTGACTGCAATCACAACACTGTCATCAGGCATCAACGAAGTTGAAAACGTTTTCTAACTTAACGGTAGGTTCAGTACAGGCCAACTGTCAGTTCGCTTCGACGTTTGCCAGCGTTTTAAGTACGCGACTTTAGCTAGTTGCATCACATTGTACACTTGCTTTTTGCACTTCCTGTCCTATTGTCCTTTTACTCTCTCAGGGACGAGAATATGAACTCAACTGCGAGGGGCGCGCAGCCGAGCCTCCCTGCCCAAAGAAGTGCTAGTGGCTCCCCAGGTGGGTACATCCATTATTCAGTTCATTTGTGTTCATACAGCGCCAAATCACAACAACCGTAGCCTCAAGACGCTGTATATTGTACAGAGAAAACCCCAACAATCAGACGAATCCTTGAGCGCAAACACTTGGCGACAGTAGGAAGGTAAACTCCCCATTTAACAGGAAGAAACCTCCGGCATGACCAGGCTCAGGGAGGGGCAGCCATCACGAGAGTGTGAGAGTGTGGGGAGTGAGACAGGACAAAACACGGGCTGTGGAAGAGAGACAATAATAACCAATGAATAAATGCAGAGTGGTGTATTTAAATAAGGTGAATGAAGAAGAAACACTAAGTGCATTGTAGGAAGCCCCCAGCAGCCTTGGTCTATTGCAGTATAACTAAGCAGGCTTCAGGGTCACATGATCCAGCGCTAAACATATGCATTGCAAAAATAAATTACAGTTTTTAAGTCTAATCTTAAGAGTAAAGAGGGTAGAATAAAAAAAAGGGTCTAAAAGCCTTAAAGGTCTAAAAGGCTAGTCTCCTGTTTTACTTTTAAATATCCTAGAAACCTACAAGTAAACAACCAGTCTGACAGCAAAGTCCTATGGTCCTATGATGTCTTTAAGATAAGATGGGGCGTGATTATTCAAGACCTTGTATGTGATCAGAAGGAGTTTAAATTAAATTCTCAATTTAACAGGGAGCCAATGAAGAGAAGCTAATGCAGGAGAAATATGCTTAATCTCTCTAGTGCCTGTCAGTACTCTCACTATAGCATTTTGGATCAACTGAAGGGGTTTCAAAGCTTTTAGTTAATGAATTACAATAGTAACAAATATTTCTGGCACAACTACACCTACTCCATGGAGAAGATCTAATAACGCAGAGACTGCAACACTTAAAAGTAATGAGAAACAACTTTATTAACTCATTCACTGCCATTGACGTCTATAGCCGTCAATTGCAGTGAATGAGTCAATGGGTTTAACTCATTCACTGCCAATGGCTGGCAGTGAATGAGTTAAGTGACCAACACATTTCGGCTTGTAGCCTTCATGAGGGTCATTGTAAAATGTAAAACAGTTTGTGTTTAAGTAAAAGCCAGGAAACAGAAAAAATTTCAAATGGATAATTAAACCTTCACAAATAAACCAGCTGACCAACTGACATTTAACGAGGTGGTATTGGTCATTTAGTTAAGTCACAGCCCAACTCACAGCTTTCGATTCTGGACTAAACCATTAAAGATTAAAAGGGGAGGGAAAAAATCCCCACATGTCTTAACGTAATACATACTCAAAATTACACAGAAAGATGCAAATAAGTTAATATAAAGAATAAAAAAAGATAAAAATTAAAAGTAAATATAAGTACAGGAACATTAAAAGAGGAAGACGATGGAAAAATGTAGTTAAAAAATATAAAAACACAAAGGTTCAATTCACACAAAACCATTATTAGAAAAATCCTCATTCATGCCTCTAGGATGTAAACTCTTTAAACGAAATATCCAGAATGCTTCTCTTTTTTTTTTCTGACAAATTAATATTACCATCTCTTTGACTGGGTTTAATGGCTTATCAGGATTTCTTTAATTTATTCAACATCTCTTCTTTGCTCTTATTCTATTGTTCCAGACTTTCCCAGGTGTGTTTATCAATTGGCTTACAGGTAAGCTTTTTTTGAGGTGGTTAGGATGGAAACTTCCAGCATGAAGTAATGTATTCCTATCAGTAGGTTTGGAGTACAGAGATGTGACAGAGATTTGGTTTTTTTTGTTACTTTTATGTCAAGGAAGTTGATTTCTTTAGTGCTGTAATTGAGGAGGATAGATTTTTAAACCTGAAAAATGTCCATTTACTTTATTTTAAGATAAGATAAGATAAGATAACCTTTATTAGTCCCACACGTGGGAAATTTGTTTTGTCACAGCAGGAAGTGGACAGTGCAAAAGTTATGACGCAAAAATTAGAATACAATAAGAATAAATACAGTACACAGCTGTACAGAATAGAATAA